CTTAAATTAAAAAAAAAAAACAAAAAAACAACTTTGCCGTCTAGGAAATGAAACCACAGTGCCACACCAAGACTTTCTCTCTTTCTTTCTATTTATTCCATAGAGTACCCCACCCACAATATCTCTGACTCAAATTGGTAAATCAAAACCATGAGGCTATAACTAAAAACTTCAGATTAATTTCTTTTTGATTTCTAAATTTTATAAGTAATAAACTATTTCTAAAAACAGACTTAGTCTTTCCAAATAGACCAATCATCATTATCTTAGAGTAGGCCAAAGGCCTTTTTACCTGTCTTGAGAATGAGGTCTTTATAAAAAACCTGGCCAAAGATTTTTTAGCCTTTTCTTACAACTGAGTTTCCTTAGATTGATTAGAACGAATGTATAATGAGACAGTCTGGCTGGCTCACAACTGTAACACCAATTATCAGCAGGGTTAGCTAGGCATGTAAAAAACTCCAATAAATGTATGCTGCATGGGTAAGATGGATGGATGAAAAAGCAGCACATGTTGACATGGGACTAAAAAGAAAGATCAATTCTCTTGGGCACCTCGATAACCAGTATATAAGGAATTCCCTCAGAGGATTGTTCCAAAAATAGTTTTGATGGCATATATAAAATGTGTATGTAAGTCTCCTATAGGGGCTACTTTAAAAGAGGCAATTCTTTCTTGGATAAGTACTTCCTGGTATATATTGTTAAGTGCTGTTGAGTTGATTCCGACTCCTATCAACCCTGTGTAGGGTTTCTAAGGAGCAGCTGGTGGGTTTGAACTCTTGAAGTTGTGGTTGGCAGTCCAATGCTTGTCCCACAGCATCACACCAGAACTCCATATAGTAGCTGAAGCATAATTTACACATTTTGTTGTTTAGTGCCATTGAGTTGGTTCTGACTCATAGCAACCCTATGTAGGATTTCCAAGCAGAGGCTGGTGGGTTTGAACCACCAACCATGTGGTTTAAACTGACCTTGAAATGCAGTGCTTATCCTACAGTGCCACACCAGGATTCCATAATTTGTACACATACATGTATAGATAGATAGATAGATTGATTGATGGATTGTTGTGAAGTGCTGTCAAGTCGGTTCCAACTCATAGCGACCCTGTATAGGGTTTCCGAGGAGCAACTGGTGAGCTTGAACTGCCGACCTTGCAGTTCAAACAGCTTTGCAGTATGGCGCATTAACCTACAGCACCACACTAGGACTCCAGATAGATAAGATAGATAGACATTTATATATGTCTGTATATATATATTGTTGTTGTTAAGAGCCGTCGAGTCAATTCTGTACAGGGTTTCCGAGGAGCAGCTGGTGAGCTTAAACCACCAACCTTGCAGTTCAAATGGCTTTCCAGTCTGGCAAATTAACTCACATCACCACACCAGGACTCCATATACATATAAATTATGTTTCAGCTGCTCTAACAAGTATATGGGAAAAGATATCCTATGGCTCTTCATATATAATCAGGTGGCTACAGCCTCTGGAATGAGACACTTTTGAGTCTTAACCTTGCCTCTGCCTTGGAAGTGACTACTTCTCTGTGAGACTCCAGAGAAGTCACTTCATCTCTCTTAGCTTTTGTTTCCTAATCTGTAAACCCGGACAGCAGAAGCTACCAGAGAGCAGTGCTGTAAGGACTCAGAAGCCTGGCATATGTTCAGTGTTAAACATGATGCTCAATAGATGGGGCCTGTTAGGAGATCTCTACTAGCTGTTATGTGCCGTGGAGTTGGTTCCGACTCATAGTGACCCTGTACAGGGTTTCCAAGGTTATAATCTTTATGGGAGCAGAAAGCCTCTCTCTCTCCTGCGGGAACACCTGGTAGTTTCGAAATGTTGACCTTAAGGTTCGCAGCCCGATTGGTAACTACTACGCTACCAGAGCTCCTTCTAATAGCTATAGCCTACCCTGAATCATACCGAGTTTGAGGCCTGCTAGAATCTGACCAGTCCGAGAAGAAAAGCCTGAACAAGAGTGAGCCTACCTCCCACTTGCATCCCACATGCCGGGCAGATGATTTTCCAGGGGGCATCCAAGGTACCTTGGTTTTCACCCGGACACTCCGTCGCACATTCACGGTGTCCCCTTTCATTCCGCGCTTATGAGATTTCTGTGGAAACGGACAAACCCAGGGTCATTTCCATGTATAGCTGGTCAAGACATCACTCCGGTGGTATCCACTTCCAATTTTGCAGGGGAGCCGCCTCTGACTAAAGTTACTGCTTCTGTTTACGGATGATAGTTCTGCCTACCTTCCAAATAGACAACTCATCATGAAAAGACAGTGCATTTGTCTCCCACACTTTTGACACTAGGAGTACAAGGAGGCTGAGTGAAGAGGCGTCATCCTAATCCACAGCCGATACCTTGGCCCACTGGCATGCTCATACCTGGCTGCTGGTCACTGACGGTTTCGGGAGTTTTTTTATGTGGACATGGACAGGGGTGTTCTCATCCACGTGAACATGTAAGGGGGGAGTTGAAGAGCGGTCCTTCATGGTTCGCTTCTGGCAGGCGGGGAAGGACAACATAAAAAAGGTTGATCTGTGGATGAGTAAACTGGGCATAAAAATAAGCTCGTAGCCTCTGGGGGCCACTGAAAGCCTAGCCTTCAAGCGAGCAGGGCAGCTATAAACTAGCAGCATGCAGGTGGGAACTGAGGTAGCAGTGCCATTCAGCAGGCTCCTATGGAGATCCCAAATGAGGATCACTGGAGAGGTCAGGTCCACTCAAAAGAGGGAGGGGTCCACAAAACCAGAGGTTCTACAAAAGAGCCTCAAACCAGGCCCCAGAGCCTTTAGAGCTCAATCTCTTTTCAAGCCTGCTGGAATGCAAAGCTCCTCTTGGGATTTGGTGCAGCACCGTTGGAAAGCAGATTGAAGCAATCTACAGCAGTTAACTGACCTGAGCCTGGGAATTAGCATGGGAAACACATAAAATGGTTAGGACGCAAAATAAATTAGGCAGCAAACAAGCAGACAAGTACAGACTAGGGAAACAGAAAGCTGGAGGAAATGCCAAGGATAAACAGATTGTAGTATACTCTCTAAAGAAAAAAAGCATGGTAGAACCCCACCAATGCACCTGTCTCCCACAACCAGCTTCCAGTCCCATTCTTTGTTGATGTTTTTTTCCCCTTTTGGAGGGGGTGTGCGGGTGGGAATTTTTTTTTTTTTCCTCAGGAAGAATACAATTAAGACAACTTCTTTATCCCCTGGCAGTCTCAAACAGACAAAAGAAAAAAAAAAAGATCAGCAGAATAAACTTGAGAGTGCGTAGTAGAGTAACCAGATTATGACAGGTGCCCGGGCAGCTTCTAGAAACACATGCAGAAGTATGTCTGACAGGGCCACAAACCAGAGAAAGCTGCTTTGTGTGCATGTCACCTACCGTCACAGTTACACTGGGTGCTCCACAAGGTGTTCTCAAGACCTTTCTCTGTGTGAGACTTGTTATTCCGTTCTTCCCACACGATGGAAACCTATACCCAGACACAAGAATCAGATTATAAACAGAAAACAAGGGTCTCCTACTTCTTAGATTTTAGATCTCCTGACAATACACATTGCACATTGTGGCAAACAGCTTCACAGCTAGGAGAATCAGTCTAGAATTACGTGGATCCCTCTATATAAGCAATATACATGTGTGGTGTCCCCAACAGTGGGATGGAAAAGCAGACTGATGGGCACTGGCAGAGCTGGTCTTTCAACCTGCCATTGTATCATACATATTGTGACCTTTTGCTGAAAAGTTCAGCTATCATCCTGTCAGGGAACAAAAAAACATGTAGCACATGAGGAGCAGCCTAGCTTGGCCAAGGATGAAAGCAACTAGAGCAGTGCCTGGAAGAGAGTCACTGAATGAATGGCTGGCACAAGATAGAGCAGTAGAGTCATAGTGACTAAAACTCATGAAAGGAAGACTAAGAGTATGAAAATACTGCCCTAAATAGTCCACTTGCTGCCCTTTAACCTCCTAAAAACTAGGCTTTTGGCTTTTTGGTGGTTGCTGGTTTCCTTACTTTTTTGATGCCACATACAATTTACTTTGCCTATACATATACAGACCCCATCACCAGATCTGTAAAAATTGCAAAACTTTAATTGGTTCCAAAATTTTGGCAGCAGTACATCCAAGAGGGGCGCTCTGGCAGCGTAGTGGTTAAGAATCGAGCTGTGAACCGTGAGGTCAGCAGTTCGAAACTACCAGCTGTTCCGTGGGAGAAAGATGAGGCTTTCTGCTCCCATAAAGATTTATAGCCTAGGAAACCCTGTACAGGGTCGCTATATAACAACATCCAAGAAGTCCAGGATGGAAAGGGACTTGGAAAGACCTGGTCCATCCCATTACCTCAAAATATCACCTTGCCTTCCCCACAAATACTTGGGGAAAATAATGCAACATAAAAAATGCAACATAAAGGCACTTGGATACTTTAAGCACTTAGCTGTATATTATACCTTGACACAAGAAAAAAAAAAGTAATTGTTACTGAACTCTATTAGTTAGCCAAACATTACCAAAAATTTTCACTCCTCAGAATATTTCTGCTCACCAAAAGATTTTGAAAATCTCTCCTTCTTTGGGTGACTGGTCAAACCCCCTTGATTCCACCAGTCCCTGCCGACAGTAGCATCTACCTCCTACATTATTTGTATTTAGTTACACTTGGCATCCTTTCAAAAAGGATCTGAGTTTAGTACTCCATTGAGACAAACCATTCTTTAATGCCCTGTTTGTTGCCAGGAAGCTATGGCACCTAGAAAGGGAGGGAGGGAGGGAGGTGGAGCTGAGATTGCATGTGTTTTCCTCCTTCCTTTAGAAAGTAGCTTTTCAATAGTTTTGGACCACTATTTCAGAACACAGAACTCGGAAGTTGAAAAAGAGAAGCTTCCAAAAGCCGGAGCCTGGCCTGGGAGCCCCTGACCACCTTTTTCTGCCCTACTATGGAGGGGTCCCCCCCGACATTGGCAGTAAGTACCTGGGGGAGCCGCCTGAGGATGAGGCAGACATGGCTAGGCATCAAAGCCGCAAAGGTGGGCAATTGGGTCAGCAGCCTCTGCTCAGGGGGACCCAGAGGGGCTTGTCAATGAGAATCTCAGGGGCCCGGCATCAAACGTCCTCTTTGAGGGGAGTAGGGTGGAAGCTTTGGGAGTGGAAGTTGGATGAAAACTTGGGAGGTGCTCCTCTACTGTTCTGAGTCGCACAGCAACTGTCCTGCCAAAGTGGAGGGAAAGAGGAAAGGCTGAGCTACCAGTGGGGCAGCTGAGGCCAATAGGCAAATGGGGAGTCACTCCCCTTCCCAGGGAGGGGCGGTAGAGACAGAACAGAGAGGACAAGAACCACCATGCCCAGACCCCACCCAGGAGTGACTACAAGGTAGTTGACTACAAGGGGTTAAACCTGAGTTGCTGGCGGGAGTGCAAAGGACAGATGAGAACCAATAAGGCTCCAAGTAGGCCCCAAGGGGCCCGGAACCCGCACTGGGAGCTGAAGGGATGTTCGGGGCGGAGTCAAGACAACAGTCTCCTAGGAGAAGGGGCGTTCCCAGCAGAATAAATACCCTGAGAGGGCCAATAGTATTTGAAAGGGGGAGGAGCAAAGACTTTAAAAGGAAAATGAGTGCTCGGCACCTAAGCAAAGGCAAATTCCCTCAACTCTGCAAGGGCAGGCTGGGAGTTAATAACTGAACTAAGGTTTCGGCGCTGGTTGTTCAGGAAGTGGGGCGGGACGCCCCGGGAGGCCCTGTGGACTGATAAACCCCGCTCCAACAGAGTGAGGCGCCTAGAGGCGGCTCCCGGGGGACAGCGTTGAGTACGAGGCGCGGGTACATTAACTGCTGTATGATGATGAAACCCGGGGCTGCGGGCCCTCTGGGAGGAAGAGAGGGGCAAGACCACCGATAGGCAACAGAGCCAGGGGCCAGTCTCCGTTGGTGGAGAGGAGGAAAGACCACCCACCAGCAGGCAGGAGGGTGTCTGTCGGTTTTTGCCCATAGAGAGAAGGGCGGAGCCCTGCCAGAGGGCAGCAGAAAGGGAGGCCTGCCAGCCCGCCCGTTAGCAGAAGGAGAAGCCCCGCGCCAGTGGGCGGGGCAGGGAATTTAGATTCTGACCGGAGCGGGCCGTGCGCGCCAGAGGGCTGGTAGTGGGGGCAACCCCTGCGGCATCAGGAGGACCAGGTGACCCTAAGGGAGAGCAGCCTCGCCAAAGAGCGGGAGGCGAGCGATTCCCCCCCGCGGGGACGGAGCCAGGCGGCGGCCGCAGAGCACCCGGGAGCGCCCTGAGTCCCGTCTGCCGGCGGCCTCTCACCAGGAGCGACACGGCTGCGCCCAGAAACGCCTCCTTATGAAGTCGTTGAAGTCGGAGGCCAGGGTCGTGCCATGGAGACGCCGCGGCGGATGCAGTCCAGCTCCAGCGGCGACTCCTCCCCGCTTCCGCCTCCTTTTCCGACACCCCGTCGGCAGCTCGCCCATTGGCCAGTTCAAACCCCCCCGTGAGCCGCACGGGTTTCGCCATTTAGGCCCAACCCTAGGCGTCACAGAGATGCCCCGCCCCACCAGAAGCTCCGCCTACTTCCGGGCCACGCTCCCCGTGGTCATGGAGACATGCGACGCCTTTTGCTGGGGCTTGCGGCGTCTAGCCCCGTCTTGCCCAGCGGTTCAGAGCCGGGCTTCTACCTTCCGCTGTTTTTTCCCCTTCTTCAGCCTTCTGAGTCGGAACAGACTGGTTCAGTCCTCCTCATTCCTATAATTTAAAGGTGCCTTAAAACTAACCCGCTCAGAAAAGTGTCACAGTAGCAGGATCTCAGACTTAGACTTGTCTCTAAACTGCTATAAGTGCAGAAATAAAGTCAGATTCTGCAAATCACACAGATCCTCCTCCTGTTACTTGTACCCTTGCCCAAAAAGTCATCATTCCCCTCGCTCATCACCATAACTCCCGCACACTGTGCTGCACTGTGTACATACCTGCCCCTTTTAGGTTCACCTTGGGCGGCCATCTCAGCTCTGCATCACAACCAACCAATCATGGGGGCGCTGTCACGTGGCTCAGGGTGCCGCCCTGAATTCTGGGAGACTTTTAACATTCTCAGTTCTCATGGACAACCCTTACAATGGTGGTGGCTGAGTCCAGTGGAGTCCGTTCCTGCAAGGCTGTAAATCTTTACGGGAGAAACCCGTGGAACAGCTTGTAGTTTCGAACTGCTGACCTTGCTGTTCGCTGCGCGATTCCTAACCACTACGCTACAAGAGCACCTTACAATAATGGGCCATAAAGTCATTGAAATCATCTCTAGTGGCCTCACCCCATCAACCACCCTTTTCTAGGATCACACAACGATTCCATCTGAAGTCTTACATTGTGGCGCGCCCATTTCCTATTGAGATTTACTTTTCTGCCTCCTAACAGCCAAGTGGCTACCATATTTGTTCTTCAATGTCAGGGAGCCCTCTACTCTCTTGACCCTTTCATTTTCTTCCTGTTGAATAAATGATGGATTCCCAACTAGGGCTCTGCAAAGACTCACTCCACAGTGTAGAGACAGAGGCCTCCACTTTAAGCTGAGTCCTCACTGCCCAGCAATTGTTCTGTTTATTTCTAAACATTTCCTCCCCTCATTGTGGCTTTTCTAAACCTTTTCCTCTTCTGCATCCCCTCCTCTCATCTTGAGCTTTCCTTACTCTTAAATCTTCCCATCATAATTGAAAGAGATGTGCTTCTTGCTACCCAATATAAATTTCCTGCTTCAACACCTAGATCAAACATCTATGTAAATCTCCCTAGCCTTCAAAACAGAATTGTTGATGATGTCTCAGTGTTCTTATATTCACTGAACCAGTACCTATTAAAATCCCTACTACACCTAGTCCTGGAGTTCTGCTGTGGCACTGTAGAATAAGCACTGGACTGCTAACCCAAAGGTTATCAGTAAAACCCACCAGCTGTTCCTTGTAAACCCTACACAGGGCCATTAGAAATCAAACCATCTAGACAGCTTTAACAACAATACAGAGTCCTGGTGTGGCTCTGTAGAATAATAAGCACTGGACTGGTAATTGCAAGGTCTGTAGTACAATCCCACCAGCTGCTCCTCAGAACCCCTATACAGGGTCATTATGTATTGTAACCATCTCAACAGCACTTAACAACAACAACGTGTCAATCAGGAGCCCTAGTGGTTAAGAGATCAGTATTTCTAACCCACTAACTGATCTGATCCACACAATCAAAAGCCTTTGCGTAGTCAATAAAGCACAGGTAAACATCCTTCTGATATTCTCTGCTTTCAGCCAAGATCCATCGGACA